TGGTCTTAAGACCGGTCTTAAGACCAAGACCAACTTCGAGTACCACAACACTGCCAAACAGCCTGAATGGACAGACTGGTTCAAAACCAGTAAGGCAATATTTTTCTAAGCTGAAATTGGTCAAGAGAAACATTTATTTCAGTTGGTGCTTGAATAAAATGAAGTATTTTATCAGAGGAATGCTGGCCTGATGGTGCATAAAGTGGATGAAATTTAATGGGCCGTTTTTCAGTCAGACTGACTAAACCTGTCTGACAGCTGAAGCAGCAAATTATGTAAATGAGACGAGTTTTATTTAGAATTCAGTCAAATTAACATGGAGTTTATGTAAATAAAGAGAAGCAGAGAAAATCAAACAGATGCAAATAAGGAGGAAAAGGCCAGGATGGTAACGCTACATGCTGAGATAAGCATTATGCTGAGTCATGGATTTGATTTTATTCATGACAAAAAAAAAAAAAAAGACATTTTCAAAATATACTTTGCAATTTAGAAAATCACAAAGCTTACAATAAACTTTGGTTCAGGGTTGATAATTAATCTTAATCTTACCTGGAAAGGCATCGTAGCCAGAGCCAGGGAGTCGGCCAGGGCCAGGTTAAAGATGTAGATGTTAGTGGCTGTTTTCATCTTTGTGTATCTGAGGAAAGATCACACACACACACACACACACACACACACACACACACACACACACACACACACACACACACACACACACACACACACAAGAAACACACATGAAAACCAAAAGACTGTCAGGTGAGATCAACATGTCTAATCTGGAAAACCTGACGTCACAAACATGAACGTGTGGAACTGGATCAACATAACCGGGACTTTTACTGGAGCCATGTGCATTTGTCAGATTATCCTGACTTTCAGCTTTTTCTTCTGGATCAACATGACCCACATTTATGTTTCCACAATGATTAAAAAAAACAAAAACAGTAAAGCTCAGTTACATCTTAGTCACCAAGTCACCATAACAACCACTAGCAGCCATCTACAAGCCAACCCGCTTGTGATTCACACCAGGTTGAAATCGCTCATTTTTAATGCCACCAATGTAAATGTGAGGAATTGGCTTTTAGGGACAGTCTGCTGTAAAACAGGACAAATGTGAGACCCACTGCTGGTTGTGATGGATAAACTGGGATGCAGTCGGTCTGTTTCTCTTCCAACATTTCTGTGACCTTGTTTGGTAGTTTCACGAATACTTCAGTGTAAAATCTGAAAATAAATCCTCATTGGGACTCTCTGCAGGAAAACAATAAATCAACATTCCTCCGTGACCATTTCAGTCCCCATGTGGGCGGAGCTTAAGAGAGCAGAGCAAAGCAGAAGAACCAGGACTTTGGACAAACTAGACAGATTGTACAAATGTGAATATTATCTAAAGATCCCTGTTTCTCATTAGAAGTTGAAGGAAAAGGACATTCATTGAAGAGCATGTATCTATTATTTTCTATCAAACAACCCACAATCCTGTTTCGTCGCTCTTCTGTACGATTTGTCTGATGTGTGTTAATGTACCAACTGACGAGGCGCACTGCGGCGCTCCCAATGTGCGTTCCTCTGAGAGAGTCCTGCTGGGAAAAGGAGGTGAAAGACAAAAAGTTTCATGCAACTAAAGACTAGATTTTCCTGAAAACGTTCATGTATTCAGTAACTGATGAATATTTGTAAATGTGGCTGAACACCTGGTTGTGTGGGTCATCATGGTCCCCAGAAGCTTCCTTCATGTTTCACCCTGGAGCAGCACAACAAAACATATTCATGTCTGCACCTCTCATCCCACCGGTTAAATGGGCTGAACTGACGCCTGCCAAAGTCTCAGAAATTACCTTTGTGGTTAAAATTTCCCACCAACATCGTGTCTCTCGGAGACGGTGCCCAAATGACTCACCAGTGGAGAAACATTAAATCTATTGTGTAATAACTGCCTTCAGCAGAAATCTGCTGAGATCCAACATCTGCTCTAAAAAAGCCTGACACAAAAAAACACATCAACCGTCTTCAGCCTCTTCCAACGTCTTCAGTTCTGTTCAGTTTGGCCTCCAGCTGTTCTTCACACCCGTTTCCGTCTTTCTTTCAGGCTTTTCTCTTATTATCCCTCTCACACTGACTTAGGCTCAGGATCTATTCTTGGTTTTCTATGTCTAAGACAGATTTCCCTCATTACTTTTGAATTTCTTGTCTTTATGACACAGATAGAGATCTGTTACAGCAAAGTCTCCTCACCAACCTTTTCTATTTCCTTATATTCACCTTTGACTCTGTTTGTCCTTTTTTTAACATCTTTTCTGTCTTGCGTCCATCCCTCTTTCATTTCCTTATTCCCTCTTTTTGTCATCCAGTTTTTTAAGGTTTGAATCCCTCACTTTCCTTTGTCTTGAATTCATTTATCCTCTTTTTGTATTAATATTCATTAATCCATGTAAGCTCATACCCTCCTTTTCATTTTCTCTGCTCTTTTCCTATAATCCCTTTTCAGCGTTTTCTCATCCCTCTCTGTGCTTCCAGCTCACTTTCTTGTTTTCTCTGCAGCTGCACATTTCTCCCTGCTTCTTTCTGCAGGTTGAGGACTTGCAGGCAGACTCTGCGTCTTCTTAAGAGCATTTTTCAGCCACCCTCCCTTTTTTAAACATAAGGGACTGAGTTTACTTCCATAACTGTTCCTTCTCCCCATCATCCTGATTTCCCCGTCTACTCAGTTACTATTGTTTTTTGGTTCAGAAACAGTTTCTTATGTTTTCCTCTCTTCAGTTACTGTGCCCATATTTTCTGTATTCTTTATGTATTGTTTGCTTAAATTTTAGTTTTTGAATTGAAAACCGAATTGAAAAGCAACTTGAGACCAGTTTTTGTTTCTTACAACTACAGGAATCATGCAGACATTCATTGCTAAGAATGAAAGAAGATCCATCATCATCACTCTTTTAATACCTCTGACCAATATCTCGTTGCATCTCATCACTTTACTAATGGGACAGACTGACAGATTAGCATAAAACATTATTTAATACATAAAAGCAGAAGTAGTATTTTAACGGCTTTAGGCAGAACGGTTTGTAGTTTGCTGGTTCTGTTCCCTGATCCTCCAGTGTCTCCTGAAACCTCCTCAGTTCCCCTCACTATCCTCTGCAGGGCTTCTGCAGCTGCGTTTCCATTTCAAATGGAAAGTAACTTATGCAACATCAGGAGCTGCAGATTTATGGTAAATGGAGGCAAAAAAATCTAAACTCTGGAAGCAGACGCTTCAGAAGCAGTGAAGTCAAAGTTTAAGCATGACATCCTCTGACATTCTCCTTTAAACATTTCCTTACATGTTGATATTTACAGACAATAAATTATTAATTTAATCTCCAGTGAAATCCAGAGAGAAAAGTCATTAAATCAGTATCTCTAATGCTCCTTAGTGAACTGATTACTGCGACTAAAAGTGACTAAATGTTTATCCAACAGTCAGTTTGAATGAGTTGTGCAGTTTGTTATAACTCAACTGTGAGCTTATTTAATTTAAATCTGAATATTAGCTAAACATCTTTCTATGTTTCCATCTGTTCAAAACCTTTAACACATTCCAGATGACTTTCAGTCCTGATAAACGGCGGCGGCGTGCCGCTCCTCTCCACTCAGACCTCTCAGCATTTCCTGCCTGTTTGCAGTTGAGGAATTTCCAAAAGAAGGATGAAACATTTAACGAGCCATAAAGGCTTTTCTTCTTTAAGCCTCTCGCTCTCCGTCGTCTCCTTCTCTCCAGCTGCATCAGTTCATCCACACTAATATCAATGCAGCTTCAGCCAATGTAAGCAGAAAAAAAGATGTTTGTCTATTTTCACTAAGTTGCTTTGACTCATTTGTTCTTAGCATGCTGAACACACATTAAACCATTTCTAAGTTTTGGCTAATCAAATCATATATACATTCATAATTTTGATTTAGTTTTATTTGCATGACCCACTAGGAACTGCCGAATGTCTGGTTCACACTTCTTCAAGGCCTGCAGAGATTTTCTTTCATTGGTGCTCATAATGCTAGAAGTGTTCCTGACTGGTGTGGGATATTCTTGTCTCAGCTGATGATCTGTTTTACTTTTCCAGCTCCACTGCCATCCACAGCTCTCTGGCTGTTTTTACCGCCCTTCATCACACTTCCATGTTTCCTCACTTTTTCTCTTTCCAAATGTAACCCTGCCAGCCTTCTCCTCCTTACGTTACTTCTCCTCTGCGTCAGCAGAGGGAAGGAGCAGGAAAGATGAAAAGGGCCCGTCTGATGCCTCTTTAATCCTCCAAGCCGTTCAGATTCAAATATTAATATCGTTTTGAATAATTCACATGTTGCTGGTCTTCACTGTATCAACGTAATTGAGCTGTCACATGTCAGCACAAATGTGTGTGTGTATGTTGTGTGTACATGTTTGTGTGTATCACACCCAATAAAATTGAAAATACATTGTCAGTAAAAGCACATTTCTAATTTTAATTTTACGAATATTCATGCTTTGTGACTTTATGCCTCTAATTCAGCGCCACACTTTGTCTTCTTTGAGGATGATTAGAAATTTCAGCAAATGATTCAGCTGCAGCTGGAACTGTGAACTTTGCTTAGTACTAAGTAAAGATTAATGCCAAAGAGAAATCAGAAATGAAATGAAGTTGATTTTTTTTAACAGCTGGAGCACTTGTTAGTATTTTCCAGCACCGTATGTTTTTGATTTTTTGCAGTTCTGTCACTTTAATTATTGAAATCCATGTAAATATTATAGAAAAGTCAATGCTGTTCAAAAAGACAGGATATTGATTGATTGATAAACAAATATTAGGAAAACTTAATTTGCTTCTTAAAGGTGACCTACTGTGCTTCCTGGAACAGGTTAGGATAAGTCAATACAAAATATGTCCATTACCTTATTTTGCATACATGATGAGATTGTAGTCTGCTCAATCTCCTTTCAGAATGAGCTGTTTTAGGGCCTCTGTCACTTTAAATCCAAATAAGCTGCTGGCCACGCCCCCAACTCAACATTGACGCTCCCAGGTCAAAAATGACTGCAAACAGATGTGAAATCATACAATCTTACACTTCTGAAAAGCAGAAGTGGAGCCTCCTGCACAAAACATAAGAACACAACAAGTGGTTTCTGGATTGTAAGTCAACAACATAACACTTGCCTTTTCCAGCAGCCATTGTACAATGTATAAAGCGGAAAAACCAGCTGATCTCAGCTTGGGTTGCTAGGTAAAGCCTTCACATCTGGATTTAACCCGATCCATTGCACATCAAACTATTCTGTTGCACTTTTGTGAATTAACTTATTTCCTTCAGAGGTGAAAATAATTATACTTTAAAACATTTCAGGGTCAAAATATTTTCTCTAACCCATCAAACATTTAAACTTTCCTAGACAATTTCTTAAGGAGGTTCAGCAGCTGAAACATTAAAACTCACCTCAGTCTTAATCTGTTTTACTTAGAAGGAAGGAGTCTTGGGAAGGCAGTGATCTCCACAGGTGGTTTTCAGTTCTGACAAATCCTTCAGAAACAGAAGTTTTAAAAATAAATCCTATTCTGTCTGCTTTGTCTATCATCCACCACCTTTCTACGGTTTAATCACTCAATCTCATAAAGTCCTTTT